CATTGATTTGTGGACACTCTACGAGTGTTAAATTACCGGTAATGAAGTCATGCAGTCAAATGGCTGATCTCTTCATGAAATTGCCAAATGGACATACAGAACAAACTCATATGCACAGAAAGCATAGATAACTGTATATTACTGTATGTTCAGAGGAGTATTGTGTGTTTGCAAACTATATTTAATACAGGAGTTGAGCAAAGTGATTGGAGTAGGTTTGAGCAGACTGCTGGGCTGGAAGGCTGATCTGAAGAATCCACAGCTGGAGGTAAACTTATCTTTGCACTGATTGTACAGTTATTGTGTTAATATGTAATGTAATGCTGTGCCTGTTTTTATAGGTCCCAGTGTTCATATTTTCAAAGTAAATACTTGCTCTTTGCATAATGTTGGTGCAGAGACTCAGTGCTCTTTGTTGTTTGTTCTTTTCTGCAGGTAAATGTTTATTTGAGTGATGACCACTGCCTGCTGGGGATTCCACTGACCAGGTAATCGACTGAAACGTCTTCTCTACACTTAACACTTTACTAATGACTGCATGCTGTCTCCTTGGAGGGTCTGTTAATGCCCCTTAAAATAGAAGACTGACCATAGTCAATCTATAAGCACATGCAGTATTTATATTCTCTGTGTTTTTGAATGTGCTTTCCCTGCTGCAAGTTAAACTTTTCATTAGCTTTATTTCTTACTGCTGTGTGCCATTGTCATAGTTTTATGATTTTTTGTGCTGTGGCCAACAGCCTCACTTAGTAGCTAGAATCCAGAATCACTCATCAACAGCAAGTGCTGCTGTATGTGTCCCAATCATTGCTGAAAATCCAAACCTCAGAAGAATAACGGATTTAGACTTGGTGGTGGGTTGTAGATCTGTTTATTGTTGCAGCTTTAATTCATTTGATAAGCAGTCATAAGTTGTGAGTCCCACTTGTTTCCTTCAGGTTACCTCTGGCTAACCGGAGCTACATGAAAACCACAGGACTGAGGTCTACAATAGCCTGGGCTATGGCCTCACTGGCTCAGATACAGGTACTAACTCACACTGGCTTCTAAAATCTGTGAGGCAACTACATTACTATGTGTACACTTTTTTATGTATGCAAATCAGAAGGCATTATAAAATAATGCAGGCAGGGGCCCTTTTGTCATTGTAGTAGACAAATTCACAGTCTGTCTTTGTTTTACCAATCCCCCTAAAAAAGCAAGGAAGGTTTAGACTCATTAAATGTGACCATTGAGCCTTCAAGCTGCTATTCTAAAGCTGTCCTCATTGTCAAACTTTTAGCATAATGTTTGTTGTCTAGAACTTGACAGTCTTTCTCAAGCATGTGTATACTCACCAGTCAAACTGTGATGTAATATTGCCCTTCAGTCACAGTTGCACTGTATAAGGTTGATTAACTGTATGTGCTGTGTGTTATCTCCTGTTTTTCCAGCCAGGTTCCTGTGTAGTCGACCCAATGTGTGGGGTGGGAACCATCTTAGTAGAAGCAGCGCAGGAACACAAGGTCAGGACAGAAAGCTACACAGTGCCCCTGTGAACCTGTTAGGTTTTAAAAAGTTTTGGAATCAGACAGAACACATAAAATGTTTGAAAAATGGTTCAGTCCTGGTCCACATGACTGCATATTTTATACAGTTGTTGATTTAATGCAAAAAAATTATATTCAAATTTTCACTAATGCAGTCTAATTGTTATATTTCCTTGTCAGAAATATTCTACATTTTATAGGATTTAATTAATTTTGGTTATTAATCGCTATGATTTGGTAAATCATCTGTGGTCTCACTGGAACTGTCAAAAGTTTTCATACCATCATAAAGAGTAAATACACTGTGTTTTTAGTAATGATGTATAGTGTTGAATTGGAACACCACTATTATAATCTGATGTCTCACTCTCTCTATGGGATCTTCAGGCTGCCTGTTTCCTGGGTATGGACAATGATGATAGACAGCTGCAGAGGGCCAATGAGAACATTGAGTTTGCAGAGCTGGGAAACAGGATACACCTGCTGAATGCTTCATCTATGGGTAGGAAACCTGCACTAAATAAAGACCAGAATAATGTAGATTTTATAATGTCATTAAGCCATTTAAATTTTCTGGCATTTCCCTAATGTTCATATCCAGAGAGACCTACAGTGTGTGCTTCTGTACAATCAACTTGGATTTCAGGATTGTACAGTAAAGTTGTGTAAAAAGGTCAAAGGCCAGAACTACAGTATTGGCTATCTTTAGTACAGAGGTTTTAACATAGTGATTTATTAAAGTGTCATACACATACCCAACCCATTTGAGTGTAAGTGCTACATGATTCAGCAAAAAACCCATATGTCACACTCACAAAGAAAAGTTGTTTTGCACATATTTCATCATCATATGAATGCCATGCTCAGGAGTTTTATTAAATCTGCCTGTTTCTAAGTGTTTCTGTGTACAGTAGTTTATACATGCAAGTAAATATATAAAATGCCATCATTTATATTTTGAAATATGAAATGCAGTAACTTATAAAAATACATTCCCTTCTTGTATAAGAGGAGATATCTGCTCTTTGGAAAACTGACACATAAACATAAGAATAGCTCAAACTGAAATATGTTATGATCGCTTTTAAAGCATTGTCGGCAACTTTAATGTTTTCGAGAAATTGAATCATGAAATTCAGGTGATGGGGATTTTTACTTTATCTATATCTATATCTTGAGTTATATCACTGTGGATCCAAAGCTGTATATGTTGGATGGGAATCAGTGGGAGTGGGAGGTGAGTGTGAACCCTGCTGTCATGTGTTAAATTACCTCTGTGTTTGTCTCTCCTCCTCTGTGTGTGTGCAGCGCTGCCTCTGGCCAGTGCCACTGTAGATGCTGTGGTCTGTGACCTGCCGTTTGGCAGGAAGTTTGGCACCAAAACAAACATGGCTACAAACCTGCCAGTCATTGTGACTGAGATGGAGAGGTTTGTTCGCTGAATAAGAAAATATTACTAGTTTGTGTCTGTCTGTGCTCATGTACTGTGAAGAATGTTTAGCCTAAAGAAACCAGAAATGAATTTAATAATGTTTGTGTGCCTAGGGTCCTCCGTGTTGGTGGTACCCTGGTCCTCCTCCTGAGTCCTCAGTTATCCTTTCTCCTGAAAAAACTCCTGGCACAAAAAGACACTGAACCAATGTCTAACCAGGAAACACAGCCTCAAACTGGATTACTAGACGGCCGATCTCCTTCTCTACCTTCCAGAAAGCTGCAGACTTTCCAAATTCACCAGGGGTTGAAACCCTCACCTACCAAGGAAACAGACACTCACTCTGGGGTACAACAACATCTGCCTCCACCCCTCTCCTCTCTGAAGCACCAAGCAACTCTGAGAGTTAGCTTAGGTGCCATAGATGGACTCATCCATAAATATGTCAAGATAGATGCTTGATCAGTGTTGATGGAAGTCACATTTCAAAGTTACTACTTTGTTTATTTTGTTACTTATCATGAAAAATGATTAGTTATGTTGAAATTCCATGCTTTATTAAAACTAGTCTGTAATATGTTTTTTTTATTTGTTTTCCTACTGGTTTTTATTGCTAATAATTTGAATGAATATATATATTGTTTTTTAGAAACAATGGGGTATTTTGGGTTGTGAGCTTTGAAAGTTGTGTCAGCTGTGGATTGGAAGGTAAATTCTTTGTCCACCTTCCTATTCTACATTTAATTGGCGTGTTAGCTCAGGGCAAGCTCGCTGCCTCCACCTGCCAATGCTATTCAGTCTGTCTGTGTGTACTTCAACTCACTTACACAATATGTCTCATTTAAACTTTTTCACTGCATACACTACAGTGTGCATTCTTCATCCCTTTTCCTTTTTTTTTTCTGTCGCTTGATACTTCATACAAATTCGAGCCAGCAACACAATTTAGTTTCAGCTTGTGCAGAAGCCAGCAATCCCACTGCAATTTCTCCACAAATTATATTTTCCCTTTACATTCAGAACTGTATTTGAAAGAAGTTGACTTGTGGTGTTGGCCTTGGCTTATGCCTTTAAAAGATATGGCTGGTGTTATTCTGTGTTCAATGAAAAGACCAAAACCAGCAATGTTCCAGTTTGTCTCAAATCTGTGCAACCTCCCTGCCCTGTTAGTGGTACACAGGCCCAAGCCTATTTATTCCTACTGAAGATGTAAAATAACTGACAGATTTCAATCATTTTTTCAAAAAGGTTCAGTAATTTAGTAATCTAGTTTTTAGCAAAAATTTCTCAAACAAGAGTAAACAGTGCATTTGTCTCCTGAAAAAAAAAAACCCTGGCACAAAATATGTTTGTTCTCATTTCATTATAGAGTACTTTATTTTTTTATATGTCATTTCCTTAAAGAATAAAACAAGTTTATACAACTTGTTTTGAGGTTGTATACTGGGGCATATGTCACTTTCCCCATTAGCTAGAGAGTGACTAGCTAGACTATTTGCCTTACCACTGCTTTAAGGGGAGTGACAACTGTAAAGTTTTCAATAATGGGACTTTTGTTCTGCTTTTGTAACAGACCCCATCAGCTGAATCACAATGTTGCCATCTGCCACTGTTTAGCCCTGCTTAGCCCAGTTTTACATTGAAAGTCTAGACAAGGCCACACCGGGCTTAGTGTTTTCATTCATTTCTCCCTTAGCTGTAAACTTCCTGTGTGTGCTGGCTGTGCAGATGAGTTATTGCAGGAAATTACATCTATGTAGGTTGGAGTTTAAAAAACATTTGGTCGAAGGTGCGTTTCTCCGGCGTTTTTTAATTTTATCCGCACAAACAAATTATCAAGTGCTTTTCCAGATTATTTCCGTTTTACATCACAACTATGCTGAAACGAAATTACAAATATCTTAAATTCAACAGCTCCATCGTCCCGGTCAAACTCTGGTCAGACTCCATGGAGAGGGAAGGCCATGATGTCCATTGCGCATGCCCAATGCGCAGTGGAAGCCATGTTGGAGCTACACTTGAGTCGGGCTGGGATTTTCTGACGCCGTATGTTTTTCTTAAAATATCTGTGTTCGTACGTTGTTGGGGTTCGTCAACCGTGCGCGATCGGCGCCGTAATCGGCAGTGGAAATGATGAACTCCAGTGTCGACCTGTCCCGGCGGAATCCGCAGGAGGATTTCGAGCTGATCCAGAGGATAGGAAGCGGCACATACGGAGATGTGTACAAGGTAAAACTGCAGTGAGGGAAGCAGCCGCCGAGTTCCATTACCGGACACAGAGGCGTTAGACATTTATGGCTGATTTACAGCTTTTCTTTGTGGCCCGTCAGAGTTGCAGGAACAGTAGGAAACTAACACTGTAGCAATCAACGGCTCCTTTCTGAAATACTGGTCTTCTTTTCGTGTTGGTGTTTACTGATGCAGTCTGTAATCTGCTACTCATACATTTAGCTAGTTCCATTGTCGGACACAACCAGGGCTGGTCTTCACTGATGTTTTGTGACTGTTATTGTTTTGGCCTTTCTCCCCGACTATTTGTCGACATTGTGGACATCCACCTCCCGATTATTGAAATGCCATTTAGTACTTGCATTGCTCGGGTGCTGAGAAATCATGAATAACCATATCTAACGTTAACGTTTACTGTAAATCTTCACTATCGGAAGGCTACGTTAAATCGGATTTTGTCGAGCAGAAATCCAACAGAAGTGCGAGTAGTTACAAAGAAATTGCGACATACTTGTTCACACGCCATATGCTGCGGCCATCGTCTGAATATTTTTTTTTATATTAATAATGAAGAAGACGGACTGATTTAAACGTGTCCGATAATAGACGTTTAGCCGTTAGCTGTCCGACAACGGACGCAGTTAACCTGATAGCATCAAGAAGCTAACGAGGCTTTTAGCTGAGTCGTGGGAACATTTTGACAACATGACAACAAGCAGTGATTTGTTACCTGCACGGGAACACAAACTGAAGCGGAGACAACCTAGCGGGTTTGTCGTTAGTCGTTTTAAATGAGGAGGCAGCTGCAGAATTTGTTAAAACTGTCTCCGTTTTGTCCTGACAGAGACTGACAGCTGCCTGCCTGGGAATCCAGTTTGGCTAAAGGCGCAAAGGGTTGAGCAAGCTACAACAACAACAAAAACCATAATATCAACCTATTGTTCATATTCACATTTCAACATCAGTAATAATTAGTCGCACTTATTAAGGAACCGAGATGTCCTTCTCTATGTCGCCTGTCTGATTTACGTTGCGTTCTAGCTGTTGTCATTGGTCCCACACTTCACCAGGGCCCTGTGTTTGGGAGGCTGGGATCCAAACGGGAAGGCAGTTCCTGAATTACAACCCAACATCATCACAGTCAGATGGGGTATCCTACATAGAACAATTGCAGTCATAATTATATAACACAGTTTAGTAGAATACAATGTAGAAACACAACACAAGGTTGTCTCATGTCATGTAAAATTTATAGCATCACAGGAACCTGGAAAGTAACGCTGCAGTACAGAACAGATGCCACCCTGCAGGATGAGATTGCTATAAATCCACAGATGAGTGCTTCAGACATAAGTTAAGTCCCTCTATAATGCTATGATAACACCATATCATATAGAAAAATATACCATGAAGCATGATAACTTCAGCAGAAGCGTACAACAACTCAGTATGAAAAACAAGTTCTTATTGAAATATTAAGGCAATTTTTCCAGTTGATTTGCACATGTATATCAGTCAGGTTATGCAAGTTAAACATCCCCACTCTAGCTCTGTTGTTGTTTGTGTAGCAGCCACTTTGTTGTGGAATTTAATTTCACCATTATGAGAGAGAGAGAGAGAGAGGGAGAGAGGCTTTTGGCAGAGTGGAGATTCATTAAATGCTTTAATAGGACTAGATGATGTTTGGTTAACCTCCAGACTCTTTGTGGTAATTACAGGAATATAATGTATCCTAAAGACCATGGATGTGACAGATTTCAAGTCTTTTTGAACCCATAGCTGCCATTAATTCCAGCTGTACTTTCTAAATACCCCACTATCTGTCATAATTTCTTTAATTTTAGTGTGTTTTCCATATTGTCCCCTCCATGTTGTAGCTAATCTTGTTTGTTTCTAAATTAAGTTCAGTATCTTGCCCACTTGCAGACAGATAGGTCTGACATAATCTCTTCACCAGGCCAGCAGCTCAGAGCTAACTCGCCTGTTAGATCTGTTACAAACAGGCAGCTGATTAATGTGCACTCATATAAACGCTGCTGTACAACCTAAACACAACAGAATGATAATAACAGAGTTGTAATTTCTTGCTTGTAGCATTATTATGTAACTGATGCTCTACGTCATAGTAAAAACAGAAGTTTTGCTGAAGGACACTTGGGGGCTCTAACCTGAAACCTCTGGATTAAAGGTTGTGCTTCTAAGCAGCGGGGCATTTGGTAAACCTCAGTGATGCCTATATTTGGTTCTACCGCTGTGTGAAAATCTGCGGCTTGGATAGGAATGTTTGAGCAGGAAACAAAGTGTGAACTCTTCTAGCTTGTTTTCTCCTCTGTTTGTGGCCCTGCCTCTCTGTCTGTTATGAGTTAGAATCTGAAGGAGGATTGGTGGCTCATGGTGCGACAGGCCTCCTGACCACGAGATCACAGGTTTGATCCTCCAGAGAGGGTGCTTGTGGGGCTGAACATGATATCTTTGATTTTTTTTTTTTCTTTTCTCTTTTCTTTTTTTTTTTTTCTGAGGGAGGTACCGATATTTGTTTCAGGCTGCCCATACTGTCTGCTGATACTGTCAATAAACTGCTGCATTTTCAGGTGAAAGATTTCCTAATTTCCCTCAGGAATGTATCCTTAGCAGGGAGTAAAATACCTTAACAGCATTTAGGTCATTCAGTGGCACCAAAACTCCCCATTCAAACTCCGACTAATGAAATTCTCCAGCTGCTCCTTAAGTCAGGGTGAGGCAGGGTTGAATTTTACAGACACCCCACAGGCTGTCTGATAAAAAAGAAAAAGGACAATAGAGCATTTAGGGCTGTGTATATTTTTTCACACTGTAGTGATTATCTTTGTAATAACTTAATGTGATTAAAAATGTCACAGTTTAAATCAGAATGAATCCTGAAATACTAGAGCACCAGCTGAGCAGTTCGACCTCCCATCGTACCGTCTTGTGTAAATAACACCAACTATGCATGTTCACATGCTATTTACTGTAAATCATTAGTATTTGTCGATACTGGAAGAACGCCGGCCTACTTGCCTTGCACTGGAGGTGACAGCACTTGAGTGATTTCCAGGTTTTAACCCTGCATTAGGCTGCTTCCCTCCTTTGTGGCTTGAAATCCAAGTGGAAGGCAAGAGTTTGATTCAGTTTAAATTCCTCTAACATGATGACAGTACACTGCACGCAGCATGCTTGTGTTTACCCATCAGTACGTTTGTGTGAGATGCTTTAAACCAAATAAAACCAAACACACTGGTGAGGAAGAATACCAGACGTTGATGAGCTCTGTTTTCGTTCTGTAAACGGCCAGCTCGCTCACCGATGTTAAAGATACGATTTGTATTGATTTGTCACTTTTGTGTGGGCGGCGCAGGGAAGCAACAACGCTTGTTTTTTTGCAGTCCCACTTTGTCACTGAGGCTGCTTCCCGAGAGCTCCAATAAACGCCAGTGTGAGCTTAATTTGTTGCTCTATAGCCATGAAAACCTGCTGCAGGCAAGCTGCAAAAAACTGTAGCTGTCCTCACTCTCTGTGCTTCAGAAGACTCGGCACAGGCCGAATATTCAACAGTGCACAGATCTGATGTAACTTGGGTTGTTTAAATAGGATGACTGGTTAGTTTTGTCAAGGTGACAGTGCCTGTGGCTTTCGGATTGAGGAAGCAGAGGAAGACGGCGGCGGCCTTCACCGGGGTAGGGATCAGTTAATGACGAATCAGTTTCAGTAGCTGTGTGTGCTCCTGAAACACGCCAGGCATCTGGGTATTTTTGGACTTCACGTAAGGGGAAAGCAATGCTACCTGTTCTTCTGTGACGTTCCACTGTTTTTGAGTCAGTTTACCAGCACAGCCAGGCAAATATCCCAGAGCTGACGTGGCTGTTTGTGGGATGTAAATAAAAATAAGACAGTACATTTGGCTGTATTCGTGAAAGGAATTTCCAACTTAAATCCCCTTAAACTGAATAAAAATTTGAGCTATCTCAGATTTAAAGAGGATGGTAAACTGATTAGCCTGGGTTTGACTTAAATGCCCCTCCTCCCCTTTGTAAAAGTAAGGATCAAGATCTTACTTAGATGATTGAAGCCATATTAAGTGGTTTGTGTTTATGGATTCACTCACTTCTGGATGTACGATGTACTTAACAGTAATAAATGTGGTGATGGTAACTATTTCCTCTGGCCAGACCTCGGTGTGTGTGGCACAGCTGGGCAGCCATGGTCCAGGAATGCAGGAATCCTCACTTCCTCCTTATGTGTGTGTGTTGTATGTGTGTTGTATGTGTGTGTGTGTTCATGTCCTATTGTTTCCCACTGCTCCAGCAGAGGAAGACAGAACTGCGGCATAACACACACACACACACACACACACACAAAACCAGATAATTGTATCGTCACATGCATAGACACACACGCACAGATGGCTACAGAGTCACACCAAAAGCTTCTGGCCCAGAACCATCCTGTTTTTGTCACTGTTCCTCTAGTTGTTTTCTCACTGAGGTGGATATACAGACCTCAAACTGCATTCACAAAAGCTTTGAAGCAAAGCAGTGTTCTGGATCAAGATCGGAAATGTAGTCCTCGTCCTGGCTCTCGGGTTTCTGTTCGCCAAGTACAGTTAATGTACTGTGCAGGGATTTGTCTCTGTGCCATTGGTGCAGTGACATATTGATAACTTGCGTAGTTGTTGCACAGTAGTTAATAACACAGAGTGGTGGTATGGGACAAAACCAGATGTACCAGTAAAAAAATAGCATTTTGAAGTCATTTTAAATACAGTCACAGGTATTCAGTATTAAGTTTACCTTCTGTGTTTATATTAGAGAAGAATAATAAGCTTTAACACCCTTCCTTTTAGAAAGTGCACAACTGATTCTGTATTTCACTATAATTTATGTCAGATGCATATTAGACAAATATTTTATAATCATTCCTCTGTAAAACCTGCCAGACCTGATATGTCTGTCTCCTGCTTAAAGTGCTTAATGTATTTTAAC